ACCTGGCAAAGCACCAGGATCTTGTTTTGCAGTCACCAAAGCTGCCTTCAGACTGGAGTTCCAGAACTCTTCTGAAGGTAGCTGAAGAGTTTCACGTGTGGTAAACGGACACATCAAAGTAAGATACTATCAACATGGCACGTACCGAAGCAATGAAGTCTGTAAGTCTTCTACATGCCTCAAATGGGTTTTTTTTTAAGCTTGCCAAGTACTACGGATATGCAGTTTACTAGAAAGTAACTGCAAATGAAATGTGCACAACAGAGGCTGGCGTCTTTAGTCTGCAGAGGAAGCCCTGCAAAGCTTGATGCCATCAAACCTACACTAGCACCTTTTCAGCAAACAGGGCTTAGGCTCAGAAGTAGTTCTTCACAGGCCACCACAAGTATTTGGGTGCACCACGGCCCCATGCAGGCAGCTCGGCTCTCAGAGCATCCAGGGGGTTCTCACTGACACAGGCCAGCCTGCCCTAACCATGATCCCACAGCCGGACCCAAGGGACTATCTCTATGGTTTTTGACACCAAAGCTTGAGAGCACCTGCTCTGCTAGAAGCCTGCAGATGGAGAGGATCAGGTCCAGTCCTGGTGAAATACAGGAAATAGGCATGATATTTCAAACTAACCCTGCTTAAATAAGGATTGCAGAAGTGTTATGTCAATCAGCAGCTTGTCAAAACCTCCATCGAGACAAGCTGCCGTGTAGTCATACGTTGAAGTAACTCACTGAAGTACACACTGCTGTCAATACAGCATTCTGCCGGGGGGGAACAAAGAAAGCAAGAGGCAGCTACAGTCAATAAAAATGTAAGAACATGCATAAACCTACCTATGGTGAAAACAAAATTCTCTAATATTCTGGGGAAAAATTACATACTTTGCTGTGAAAACCAAGAGGGGATGAATTCTGACAAGCCCATTCTTGGAGTTGTTGCAGACCTGCCAGTTACAGCTAAGCAATGTTTTGTTTCAGGTCACGTTTTCTGTGTTTTCATATTAACTAGAGAAGTTTCTAGCTGCCATTATCCAACTATACCTTTTAAGAGCTCAATTCTTTGGCACAGTATGCTTTTATGCTAAAAAAATAAAAATTCATTAAAAGCCCATCACAGTGATGAAAGCTGATCTGCATTGCTCCCAATAACATTTCAAATCCTTGGCCTGAGAGGAACCCTTCTGTAGTAAAATGAAAGCATTTGGTCTCTCAGGATTGCTCAAGTAATTACCTTCAAGACTTCACGGGAGCAGTGTGATAACTACACAAATACCCACGTAAAGAATGTCAAAAAAGCCTGTGACATCAGACACACTGGAATCCACATGAACTACTCTGCGCTCAACAGTTAAAAACCCCATTTCATAACTGTCTTGCACTGAAGATGAAGCATTTCTGCCCGTCTATAAAGTAACTTCATCTGCGGTTTTTTGGATGGCTTCCCTAATTTAATTTCAAACTGGTACAGTCATGCAGTGGAACAAACACACTTGAGTACTTACGAATATTAAATGTAGGCTACTCACTACTGCAGCACTCGAGTGACAGTCGTATTTTGGATAAGCCAATGAAATACACATCAGTGTATTTGTGGTTTATAAAACAGCAGCTCATTTTAAAGCAAAATTCCAGTCATTCTATATATGCACAGCACTATGCTGATTTGGTAATACAGGGACACAATTTAATGATTTTCTTTGCATTTGTTTTTACAAGATTCAGATGCCAAAAACAAACCAGAACATTAAGTTACCTGATTTAAAAAAGAAAGTCACATACGTTTACAACATCAAAAGAATAAGACGAAATATAAACCTTTGCTACTTACAATTGATCTATACAGATTAACCAAATCACAAATCTGTCACAATATAAACGTTTAATTGTTACAATGAATAAGAACATACAGAAAATGATTTCTTTTTATAAAATCTTCCTTTGCTTTTTATTTTAAACTTACCATTAACTAAATTAGCTATGCAGGACTTGTGGGGTATATGACTAAGAAGGCACCAACAGTACAAAGCAAAGACAAAGCAGTTTTGAGTATTTTAAGAGTGCTCTACACTGATACAACACAAGAAAAGGCAACAATAGTAAGTAAACCAGCTGCAACCTTTAGAAATTTGTTCTAGATTTACAAAGGTAGTCCAACTTGTACATTTCCTCCAATGTTTCACCTAGTTTGATCACAGCACATGCTACAAAAACCACTGTAAGCTTCACTTGACTAATGTGCACTTTTCACTAATTTAGTGTCTTGATTTCAATTGTTAACTAAAACATTTGGAACCACAAATGTATTTAAAACTTAGTAAAAGGATTGTTTGGACTCTTTTGTTGAAACCACTGCATTTACAAAAATATTTCCCCTAAAATCTGGGATTGCTTGAAGACATTGCTGTACAGATATAAAAGTACTATGCAAGGGACCAAACTCGTGAGTACATGGTGTGTATGTATAGACCTATATTTATACCATATCACGGTGCTGTAACAACACAATAAATTTATCAATAACCAAGGACTATATAAACTACACTAACATAAGCAAATATATATTAATAAAGTTTAAATCTATAGTACAGTTGCTCAGCAAACATCTTCGACATGGTATAAATATACTGTAGCATATTACAGTGGGCAGCAACAACAGGTTTTTCTTTTTCTCATTCTGTAAGGAAAACCGTGCTCAACTCCTTGGGTTTCATTTGGCCACTGCCGAGCTCTGTCACCACTGCTGCTCCTGATAGCTCACCACAGCGCCCAGCCCATGTAGTGTGTTGCACACTGCAGGCTGGTGGGATGTGTAATAGGGATGAGGAAGAGCCTGGCGACAGGCAGGACAGCAGAGAAAGACAGTTATTTGCCAAAGCAGCCATGAGAATTTTGTTTGCATATTTTTCTTCAGCTGTAAGGTTGGAATGTTTTTGACAGTGAACTGTTTACATTCCTTATTCCCAAAGCATCTTTACCATGAAATATGCATGTTACTTTGATTAAGAGTTGCTGTTCTCTGCTCTAAAATATAAAAACTACATAAAGAAAAAAAATACCTATGTAAAATGATGAAATAACTGACCTAACACAGTGTTGGTATAGGCACCTGCTTTTAAACTATTTTCAAAATCTGACAAAAAAAATAAAATAAATCATGCTTCTGCTTTTGACACATCAAATTCAACCCAACCGATGTTCACTGAATTCTGCAAAAGACTGATAAATGTGGTTACTGATGGAGGCCAATTGGATTCAGTGAGAATAGTGAAGGAAGAAAGCCCAAAAGCACCAGATGTTCAGTAAAGCAAACCCTTGGCTTCTCACCCAGAGAGACAGAATGCAAGGGCAAGTCTACACCTCCCCAAAAATCCAAACTGAAAGAAAGTATTAAAAAAAAAAGAATTGGGGAAGAGAAGGGTGAAGTAAGCTGCCAAAGTTCTTCCTTAATAAGTTATAACTGAGGTGTTACAAACTAATTTCAGTAACAGTCATCTTTCCAACCATGCCAAAAATGAATCCTGTAGTAATGATGATCGTACAAGTAGCAGAGATTCTAGAAATATTTCGACTTCTCAAAACTGAGTGAGAAAAGCATTTTGGTAAAGAAGTGTAGAAGTGTCAAGAGACATTCCTACACTAGTATCAACAGTCAAGTGCGTATTTCGATAGAAATGGTTTTAGCATAGGTTCCACGTCACAATTCAACCATCACCTGTGCAGTGTCCCAACAATGCTCCTCGTGCGTTCCCCGCCACAGATTTATGTACCACAGGAACTTCCGAACTGAAAATGCCCTTTAATGATGAACCCTTGCGTATTAAAAATTAGTTTTGGCAGACTAACACTGAAACTAGAGGAAAAAGAAACATCTGAAATGGAATCCTGTAAGCACCCTTATCTGTTGAAGTCTAGGTTAATGGCTTTCTAGATTTCTGTGAAGAGCAGACTAAATGGTATGAGGAAGCCTGGAGTTACTAACCAGCCAGCATCCTTATGTACTACAGTAGCAATTGAACCTGATTTCCATTCAAACACACTACCCAAGAGGAAACCAAAAACTAATTCTTAATGTTAATGTGAAGATACAAGATTTAAATTTATTTCCAGGAATTACAAGTGCATTTTGTTCATATTAGCAAGCAGTCTTTATACAATCCATTCTTCACTGCTGCCAAAATAAAATGAGAAAAAGACAGCAGAGATATGAAAAGCTAAAAATAGAACTATTTTTCCTAAGTTATTTGTTGAATAGCATTTCAGTTGAACACAACTCAGAGGTAACAATAGATTATTTTTTTTCTCAATCATAGGCATGTGGCACTTAGACAATCATCTTTGCACAGAAAGCTTTAACAGTCATGCGAGGGCACAGTAATTATTTTAAACAAGGCAAATTTCTCACCACAGAGAGCAGTGGGGAAAGAAAAGGAGGCACTGCACTGGAACATAACACCTAGTAAACTCCACATTATACAATTTCAGTAACAAATACTTGAAAAGATCATTAAAAGGTATACAATTTTAAACATGATTTAGTGCTAGCTTTGTTTGGTTGTCCTAACTCAGCATTATCAGAAGAGTTTGATAGTACTTGACAACAGAACAGTACTTCATGTCACGAGCTCATGGAGGCTTGATTACAAATCACCATAGTGTAGGTTGCAAGAAATGAACTTGAGATGCTGACATGCTGTAGGAGCAAAAGTAAAATCAAACTTTCTCATTTAAAGATGCAGTGTTCCTCTCGGCAAGAATTCTTAATGTCAGTGATTAGACTCAAATGTAAAAACTATCAATCCTCACTTGAAGCGTTTCATTGGTATGCAGGATGTAGACTGAGTTTATTAACATCATATTTTGGTTTCTCGCTTGCCACCAGACATGGATGCCTTCCACAGAGAAAAGCATTCGCTATTAGGTCATCATGCCATTATGTTCTTTGTTAATCTTCCACCACACGGTGAGTAACTGTAAGTTGGCGAGCTGCCACTCATTCTCTTTGCACAAGTAGTACTATGCCTCCAACATGGTTAAACTTTAAATGATCTCTTTTAGAAAAGGCAGGGAGAAAAAGGTACAAATTTCATCAATACATGGAAAAAAAAAGCGTTTCTGGGATGAATTCAATTAAGTTGGGTTTCTATGTGGCTCTTACGCTGTATAGAATACCTGTATGTACAGCACAGGACACCCAAAGTGCATAAGCAAGATTAACATGAACACGACTTATGCTGCAATCCATAGCACAATGGTATAACCCCCGCTGGGTGTAACCATTTCTATTTAAAAAGGAAGTGCAAAAAAATCTGGGATGTCACTGACTTAAAGTGCCCTGAATAGTAGCTTTTCTAAAAAAAAAGAAAAAAAAAAAGAAAAAAAATTGCCAGCGACTTCAGTAAAGTCATAAAACCATAGTTCATGGTGTAAACGTCTTACAGGTTAATGAATTATCTTCATGGATATTGATCCGGGAGTGAAAGGAACCACTGCATCTTTCAAACCAGAAAGCAAGCAGTTAAAATACGGCCAGCAGTAGGTGCACTTACAGTACAGTACTGCCACAGGTCAACATGGGCATTACGCATAGGAGTGTCAATTACAATTCTTCAGGCTTAAAAGATTCATTGAAAGCATGAAAAGCCAAAACTACCAGGAACTGCCCTCCTGAATGGCTCAAAGGAGTTAGTGGATAAGCTGAGAGAGGCCACAAGACATGACCAACAATAAAGAACTGGGAAGAGGAACAGCAACGTTTGAGCATGCCCAGTCCTTTAAGTCCTTGTCCTACAAAAAAGAGCAGAGACATATTTCAGAAAGTTTTAACATTGCCTTTTAAAATAAGCATACTTTCCTATTTCTGTGCGTTATGCACACTGTGTTTGATGTGAGTCAGACACACCTCACCATGGCAAAAAAAGGCCGGAGACAGTGGATATCACTGTGTTACCTTTGAAATTAAAACTTTCAATCTTCAAAAGACTAGGAACATTAATCATAACTAGTGAATGAAGTACATTATTCAACTGATTAATTAAGTGCATTATATGATTGTATGAAGTACCTGATATTTTTACACTGCTTCTCAATGCCCTGACTACAGTCAAGGAGGAAGTTTGAGTGAGACAAGCTAGCTGGTAAACCACAGGAGAGGGAGTAGAAATGCACAGGAAGAGACCATTACTGTCTGTTTTAAGCCAGCTCCTGTGGACTGGCCCTCACTGGGATGTCAGCTACTTACGTGTAAACTGTTGTGATGTGGAGCAGCTCGTAATTCTAACCACAAATGGCTGGGACAAATCACCAGCACATCATTACCAAGCTAAGTAAAATATTTAAATTGCGGCATCAGGTCGGCCAAATCAACTCTCTGTAGTAACATTTAAAGATAACATTTTTAGCCAACCAGAAACTTCTGTTAGCACTGGATCACCAATATCTTTATCCCTAATCTTTTTATCTCTTAATCCCTAATACAACCTAGGTAAGTATGGTCTGGGCAAAGAGGCAAGCAGGAGAGATCAGAAACTACAATTCACCACAACGGTAGCTACTTGCTCTCCCTTCCTTGTTAAAACAGCCTATTAGTAACAGGCTTTGTCCTACTCCTAAAAATTTCTGTCTATGTGTACTGCTTGTGCCTCTTGTACATAATGAGCTTTAGAAATAAGCACCACTCCCAGTACTGTGTCCAGGTCTGTTTCTATTGGCAGCACCCAACTAGTAAGAACCAGATGTGTGAACCTCAGATTTACCTAACTTTTAGTTATTAAAATAGTTGCAAATGTTAGTTAGCACGCTTAAATAAGCAAAATACAGTATCTCTAAGGACTTGCATTACTTCATTTGTGAGCTTCTATACATTTGAATATTCAAGCCAGTGGCAACAGAAGTTACCCTAGGTAAGTAAAAACAACTGTATTTTGAAGTTCTCTCTGCTTTTTTCTTTTTCCTAGGAATTCATCATTAAAAAAACCTGGGGCATATTTCAGTGTAGAAACTGAAATCCCATTTTTGCTGCAGAGGAATTATTGCTTATAGCAAAGCAACAAAGCTTCTAGGTATTGCTATCAGCACCATGGATTTCTTGCAGTGAGGAAGTTCACTGGCACAGAACTTAACCTTTCTGCTGGAACTGCCAACAAAGCCCAGTGACTGTAGAGTGCTGCTGCTGGAGAATAGCACAGAAAGGACTTTAAAGAGCGTAAACCAGGCAGTCCAGGTTGGGCTGTTGTCCTGGTTTCAGCTGTAACAGTTATTCTGCTTCCTAGTAGCTGGTGCAGTGCTATGTTTTGGTTTCAGTCTGAGAACAATGCTGGTAACACACCAATGTTTCAGTTTTTGCTAAGTAGCTCTTATTCTGATCAAGGACTTTCCAGTCTCTCATGCTCTGCCAGTGAGGAGGGGCACAAGTCAGAAAAGAGCAGAGCTAGGATACCTGACCCAAACTAGCCAAAGGGGTATGCCACACCACAGCACCTCATGCCCAGTATATAAACTAGGAGGGAGTCACCCAGAAGGGACCAACTGCTACTCAGGTTGGGCTGGGTATCGGTCAGCAGATGGTGAGCAATTGTATTGTGCATCACTTGTGTTTTCTGAGCACAATACAATGTGCTTAGCTGTCCTCTTTGGTTTGTTTTTCTTTTCCAGGCAGAAAACTTCAATACTTTAAACTTTCGGTATCACAGAGATTTCACAAGTATTACAAAGATTATTCAGGTCAGTATTTGACCAATTTTGTATGAAACTACTGAGACTTGCAGGCCTCGAGGTATATGAAGACCAGTTAAGTTCATGGATTTAAAACAAAAAAACCCCTCAGACAGTGCATATCACTACATTTTAAATCAAAATTTTAAATCTTCAAAAGATTAGAAAGATTAATCATAACCAATTTTTTAATATTTAGATGCCTATTCTTATTTACTCACACTATGTCAGAGGTATTTAAACCTGAAGTTAAATCATACTGAAGTTTCACGGGATTTTTTCCCTTTAAAATCATTTAAGGGATTTTTCCTCCTTATATTACATTTAAGGAAGATTTTCATTTTTGTTTAAAGCATTTGAAGTCATATGACAAAACAGTCTGCAGTATATGAAGAACATTTCCCCCTTAAAATGCTTTTTTGAATCAAATTTGCATTTAAAAGTGTTACCATAGCTTTTATTCCAAGAAGCAGTATTTAAATGTACTTCCTATTCCTTAAACAGTTGCCTGGCTTTTAGGTTACATCTCTGACAATTAATTGCCTGGATTCCCCACAGACCCTTCCATGGGGTAGGCAAAACTAAACTGATTCTTCAGTAACAGACTAGGACTGAGGTCACATGAATAACCATAAAGTTCTCCTTTAACAGGCGGTTACCGTATCAACAGGAAAGGCAAGTTCAACACTTCACTAGTGGCAACAAAATCCAAAACCTCTCCCCCTGCCCAGGTGGTCTCGTGCTGCTGGGACTTTACCTATGCACAATTTAAGATCGATATCCTGGCTGGAATCTAGCAGTTTCCTCAAAAATCAGTTCCTTCAGCTTCTCCTTCGGCAAGTCATCCAACTCCATATCAAACTTGAAGGGTGCTTCGGCTACAGGCTTAATAATATAAAGAAATGTTATTGCTTTTTTAATATTAATATTACTGTTCTGTTTAATTTCATGTAGACCTTGTACAGGGGAAAACATCTGAAGACGCGCTCCACAGAAGTACTTAATACTGTGCAAGTCTTCAAGGCAGAACTTGTGCTGTTAGTCCTTTGTGTGCTTTATGTATTATCAAATTTTATATCAAACCACAGTAAGTAGCTACACAAATTTCAACCACAAGTTAAAAATATTTGTTAAAGGCTCATAACTTAGTATCTACCCGAAGAAAAATGATCTGAAACATTTGTATTTCTCAGAATAAACGTATCTGTCCCTTAAGGAAAACTACCTTTTTCCTCCTTACCTACTTCTCTACCAAAAGTAACCTGAAGTCTCATCAGATTTGCATCCTAAACCACAGTGAGTTCACACTGAGGAGTTTTAAATGCATAATTTGATGGGGAACTCAAGTCATTCCCCTCCATCTCAGACATTATTAAGCAAGACCATAGTGAGCTGAGGAGTTCCATTTTCAGGAGAGTACACCTTAGCCTCTATTTATTGTGTTGCACCTCTAAAATGTTGTACTGGAACAAGAAATAGAAAATTTTGGTAAATTGATGCAACTAATTCTTCAACTCCCTTAGACCAGCAGTAACACTGCCCTTAAACTAAAGAAGACCTGTTACACCATTAAATCAATATTGACATTTTAACAGTGTCTTTACCTCATCGCTTGGATCGTAATACTGCTCCAGATATGGATGGGCTAAAGCTTGTTCCACTTCAATCCGCTTATGAGGATTAAAGGTCAACATTTTATCCAACAAATCAAGCGCTAAGAGGGAAAAAAGTGAGCAAGAGTTTAATACACACCTCAAGGTACAGAACTGTTACAAAAACACTGATATTCCACAGAAAATACACTCTACCAAGTTCTGGGCTGATCTTAATTTACATCTGGAGTTCCCCAGCTGTAGGAGCAGTAACAGAAGCAGCAGATTGCTTCCTGCAGCTCAGGCAGAGGGCCTCCGCCTGCCCACCTCATTCCCTGGGTACAGCTGCCTTCAGCCCAATCTGGTCTTTGGGCTTCACTCAAATCTTTGTGCCAAAAATCCAGATAAAGACAGAGCTTTTCTGAAATGGTAAGTAATCAAGAGTATGGTCTTATTCCCAAAAGAAAATCTGGCTGTTTACTGATGGAAATGTCATCCAGAAGTCATTAGGAGTTCTAGACCATCACAGTAACTATCCTAGTGCAACTAGCAGCCCAGGAGACACTCTCCATCTAGGATGCAAATACATCCATATTCATGAGATTCGGGCAAAATCTGTTGGAGACATCACAAAGAATCCACAAACAACCTGAAAGACAGTGAGGTCTGATGAAATTTTGGACAAATGTTACAAATCACTATAGCTGAACAACTGCAGTAACTCTGATGTAACACATTCTCCTTTTCCAAGAAAAGAAAACAGAATGATTACTATAGCAAGAAGCCCAAAGACATCTGCAGTATCCCAAATTCCATTCCTTCTCACCACATCATTTATGACACACAACTTTAAAAGAAGCTTCTTACTGCAGAAAAGCAGTTGTAGCTTTGCACCAGGATGAGACGTGTACCAAGCACTGCAGAGGAGACTGAACTTCACCACTGTGTTCAATGGCAGCATGGAAAAGCTGCAAACTTGCACAGCTACTAACATGAAATATCGTGCTGCAGTCTTCTCAAGACTGGTACTCACATGCTCAAGCTGCGCTGCAGCACATCATGCACAGTGCTTTTCACTGCATGTTTGACTGACAAACAGCTCTTTGAAAAATTGCTCTGAAGCTATTCCGAAGATGCAGATGGGAAGGTGCTGCAGGAGTCATGCAAACAGCATGCTCCCCAGCAGCTCAGCATATCAGCACTGCTACAGTCTGAGCTGTCAGAAGCTCACAGCAGAAATTCTCACATTGATGAGCACTATTACAAAAGCAGAATAAATCACTGCTGTTTCTCTCAGGGATAATCAGCTCTACACAGCTCCATCTGCAGAAATCAGCTTTTACGTGGTAGTTCTGTACCTGATCGTACTCACTGAGAGTAAATTATTGTATCAGTTAAAATAAAGTGACTGCTCAATTGTGTCAGAGCATGTGAAAGGGCACTGTCCTGTGAACACAGCTGCCCTTACACTGTAGGAAGTTGAATTCAAAAGGCATGTTAATAGCTATCTGGCCAATCAAAATCATATCTGCCCTTTACTACAGCCTTGCATCTATAACTTCTGCTCCACTTATCATAACAGAATTTTTAATCCCATTAAATTTTAACCTTTCACACTTAGACTGGTATTATCCTGTTTGATCCAGAGCTGACATGCAGTCTGTGTAAACTGTACTGAGTCCTGCAGTAAGCAGTGCTCTCATATCTGATTCTAGAAACACAGTCCAAGATTTGTTTGGTGCCTCTGTCAGAATCCAATGCCCATATTCAGTACCTGAGTAATGTATTGTGCTTTCGAAGACAGTAACAGGAGTTAGGCTTTACATTTCACTTGTCAGTTAAAGATCAACATGTAATCTTAGAGTTACTAATAACTGCTTTACAAAAATAACCTCGTATAAGGGTTCCATGCTGGTTTATGATTTTATTAACTTTATACTGCCATTTTAAGGGGCCTGCATGTTCTGTTTTCAATACAGATAAATTACGGTGGTTTTGAAACTCCCACCCTGCCCTTATGTTCTGATACAATGTAAAAGAGCATAAAATACCTTTGGGGTCAGCATTTGGAAACAGCCTGTTCCATGGTACCTAGGGAAAGCAAGTAGTTTCTGGCCTTTAAATTTATTATACAATTCAAATCTTCTTGGGAAGGGGATCCAAGTATACCTAAAAATAAATACAAACAGTGCTGCATTCCATGAAAAGCACATTAAACAGTTATATCACAACTGCTAAAACTCAATAGTAAAACTGCTGGGAAGAAGATTTCAGACTAAATGCTTTAAGAGTACAGAATAACTCGTAATTTTTTTAGAAACCTTTATAAAAAAGGTTTAAGTTATTTCTTCTTGTAAATAAACAAATGCAGAAGTTTCTAATGATCACCAATCTGTTTAAAAGAGCCAGTAAGTGGTGTATCTATAGAAACGTTAGAAACCACCCTGACCTGGACCTAAGAGTATATTTGAGCTTTTCATTTTATGTTCTATTTTTAAAACATCTCTGCTGATACAGTGAATAAATTGCTGAGTAGCCTTTATCTGCCACCCCACTTCAATGATTTGTGGTAGAAAACACTGCAGGGACCAGGCGATGCACTTACAGCTCCCTGCACTATGCACTCACTGAGCTACAAGAGCAGGAGAGGAAGAACCAAACCCAGCCTTGCTGGTGAAGAAGACAGGCAGATGGGTGTGGAAATGCCACTTGTATGTGACGCTTACCAAGGATGTGGTTGAGTTGGTCAAGGTAGTGTTTTCCTGGAAAGATGGGTCTGTTGGAGAGCATCTCTGCCAGAATGCAGCCGACTGACCAGATGTCAATAGACTTGGTGTAACCCTGCAAGTAAAGTGAAAACACATTGTTGTCAAAGGAATTCTGCATAATTGCAGCAACATGTTACTTCAGTAAACTGTGGAAGTGCACGCAAATACAGCTTTTTTATATGAGTCATGCTTGTTAATGCTCTTTGTTTTTTCTGTACAGAATGAAATAGTTAAGAACTGTACATCACAGCAGTACTTTGAAGGGGTAGCAAGAACTGAAGTAGGCAAGATACGCTTTTCCAAAAGGATTCTCTAAATTCACCCACACATACTAACAACTGCAAATTCTGAGACTCCTTGATTTTATAGCAAATTTAAACTAACAGATTTTGGAAACAAGCCATTCTTCTTAATTCCAAAGCTCCTTACAGTGTGCTAAACACATGCAGGTCCTATTCTTCCCAACAGGACCCAAACAGCACACAAATAAGAAGCCTTGAGCAAAGGGGTGAAAGGACACCACAGACCATTGGTTAGTCAATTTGCAAAACACAACAGGTAAGCAAGTAGTAGATGTGATGCGAGGAGGCCAACACTGCAAGTGGATATAAGGAGAATCAGTACAGGTAACCTGCGCCATCCGTAAGAGAAGGCTCTCTTTCAGAAGCCCACATGGGGCCCGTTCATCTCTAGAAGCCGTGGTACCAGGAACTACCTTGCCTTGTTCCCCCACAGCCCGCTGCCCCCCTCCCATTAGCAGGAAGCTTCCAACTGAAGCTAAAAACTCTGCTGAATCCACAGGTGGCTTCTCAGGACCTGATCACTTGACTGTTTGTTTTCAAGGCACTGGAATTCTAAATCGAATCCAGGCTGTAAGCCAGGAAATTTTATGCTGATCACTTCTTAAGAGACATACAGAGTATCTTCTTGTAAAGGCTGCTGATAAATGTATGAGGATTTCTGGAAATAAGATGAAGTTGCCCTATGTTTATGGCTATCAATGTGAGTTTAAAACACAAGAAGCTGTAAAACCCCCTCAGTTGCTCAGATGACTATTTTCTAAAAGCATTACACACTCTATTTCCACAGCAAATCCCAGCTGGCCGCCAACAAAGCAGCAACCCTGCAGAAACAACATCATCCTCAAGAAATGTTAAATTCACACAGAGCACAAATGTCACATAGGTATTTTGACAACAAGAGTGTGGCTGAAGGTTCTGAAGGACACCCATTACTCACACCATTCAGGGACTGGACACACCTTAAAGCAGCTACAGAAGAACATAAGAATAAATCCAAGTATAAAAAAATCAAAGAGATGATTTCATTACAACTCTGGGAATGCAATTAAGATTGACACACAACAACGATCACATGCCTTCAGAGTCAGATTCACCCTCCTTATGCATTCTAAACCTGAATTAAGATGTCAAGATAACATTAAGGCAACATTAGCAAGAAGCCTTGATGAAGGCAGCAGTAAAGTGCTCTCATTACTAACACTTTTATTTTAAGAGCGTTTGATGGAAAGAAGTCTCCCAGCTGGCAAGGAACTGGACACGTGGGAACATACGCACGTTATGCCTTGTCTGTAGTATTCAGTAATTGTATCTAGAATCAAAAACTTATCGCAAGCCAGCAGCTGTATTGCAAGTCCATTACCACACTTCCTCAAGACTATGCGTATGTTCTGAGACTAAAAACACAGAAGGGCAGAAAGCAAAACCGGTACTTGCAGGTGAATGACCAGCAACAGAAGCACCAGCCTGCACTGTGGTTCTTACCTTAGAATTCAGCATGATTTCAGGAGCCCTGTACCAACGTGTGGCCACATACTCTGTCAAGAATCCTGTGTGATCATGATCTGGATCTGCAACACGAGCCAGTCCAAAGTCACAAATCTGGGTTTAAAGAAATGAGGGAGTGGGGGGGGAAAAACAGGCAGATTAGACACCCAGTGATGGCAACCTCTATTTTTAGAAACCAATTATTGCACAAAGGTCAAGGAAAATGTTTTGGATTGAGTACAAAGAGCACCCGATTAAGCTGTGAGGGGCCAGGAAGAATAAAGGGCGGGGGGGGGGGGGATGTGGGGTGTGTGGAAGATGTTCCTGATTACACAATTTACGTTCCACTGTGGGTTTACTTCACGCTTCCTCTGCCAGAGGTGGCAGATGCTCTGCTCCAGCCTGTTATTAGACATTGACCAGAAAACAAATAAAGAAAGAGATTAACTTTTCCAGAAAACAAAATTACTGACCAACACGTTTGTAGCAAAGTTCAATACCCCTGTTCACAAAAGCTCCCATCATAACTGCATCTTTGTGTGAGAAACTTCCAATCCATCACAAGATAATGGTAGACTGGAGAGATTACAGGTTGCTGAAGGAAGAACAGGCTTTAAAAAAAAAATTCTTGACCCTCTATCAGGAACAGTTTCATCTAACCATGAAAATAAAAATAAACTCTGATCCAGACTAGTGAGTTCAGCACAAAGGAAAGTGGTTTTAGCTATACTCTGGTGAGGAGGCTCCATGGTTTTTAGAGCTATTTAGTGTCCTCTCCCCAGAGGCAAATTAAGAGCACTGAAAACATGAAGAGAGACAGTGTTCTAGTGTACAGCAGCTGATCATTTCTTGCCTTCCCAAGGTACCTGGCAGGCTTGTGGCATGGCACATTAGACACTTTCATATGCTTTTGCTACCACCAAGCAAATATTGGTTTATGATAACAATCAATTTCCACAGAGCATATCTGCATGTTTGTACTCTCAGAAAAACTGAGGCATCAAAAGTAGAAGTTGCAAACAGATCATAGGTTCCTCTGATGCATTTTAGAATAGTTTATTCTTTAACAGTTGTGTACAGTGATTGTATTAAAAACATAAAGTAATAATATGTTGTAGTCAATAAAGACTGTAATGGAAACCCCACCAGAAATGCAGAAACCTCCCTGTACCCTGGCAACCTACTCCTTTATCTTCCTGGAGGGACACCCTGTGAAATGACTGATAGATCAGCCAAGGAAGAAGAAGTGATTCAGCTGACTAAAAGCTACATCTGAAAACCAAGATACAGCAGATGACTTAAACAGAGGGACTGAAGAAAAGGCAATGATGAAATCTGTAAGCCAGGCTGCATGGGATGACTCCTCTGACTTTAGATATGTATTAAAAAAAACCAAAAAAACAAACAAAAAAAAAAAAAACCACCAAAAAACCCCCAAAAACTAAGCAAAACAAACCTGAATCCTTAGAAAACAAAACCAAAAAGAACCCTTTTAAGCCTGTCAGGGTTTTCCCAGGCTACAGAAACAGAGCAGCTGCCTGTTGTGCAATTAGCAGCTTACATAAAGTGAATCAGTACAAATAATCAGAAGAGTCTTCTCTAAGGACAGACGCAAAGAAGCTGTAGAGGACTTCAGAAAAAATAATTATGCAGGCAGGCAAAGTTGTTGTAATCTCTTTCTCCTAACCTCAGCAAAAAGCTCAGTAAGACTACAGGCAAGGAGACTTGTGCAGAATTACAGTACTATTCTTAAGCAAAGTGGTATAATTGCTATTATTAAGACAAAAGAAAGACACTCTCCAGTCCACAGCAAGGAGAAAGAACTGGGTTACAGAAGATGTCTGTGAGTTTCTGAAGTAGGAAAATGGACATGGGATGGAAAGGAAGATTAATGACAAAGAGGGCTCATTAAAATGACAAAAAGCCCCTGCTGCCTAGAGCAGAAACAGGTTAATCTGAAAAGAAGAAACACGATTATAGTGAGACAGGCATCAAGGCCGAAGCTGCAAGAGGAGGCATTTGGCTGTTAGCAGTGTTCTCACCAGCTGCATTAGCAGGGCAGGAGGAGAGAGAAGCTGGTGAGGCCAGCTCTGCCCCAGGTCCCGGTGCAAGAGGTGCAGCAGAGAGACCAGCTGTGCCCTGGCTGGGCAGAGAGCTCTTGGCCTGTGGCAACTGAACACATTTAACAAAGCAGCTACCCTACTGAGGGGAAATAAAGAATTGTAAGTCCCATTTAAGTCTGTAGCACAGCCTGAGGAAAGAGAAACAGCTTTAGGTTCTGCATTTCTGCCCTGAGCCTTTCAGCTGCTCAGGACAAGATACAGGGTTCACAGACAAATTTTGTCAATAGATGGAGACTCATACATTTCTTTCCTGGAAACAGAATCTATGAGCCAGAGGTCAAGATCACTTTTAAGGGAGAAGAAAGAAGGAGCTTTTGTTAGAACCTTTAGGACTCTGAGCTCCAGAAGAGATAACACCGCTAAAGAAAAAAGCTAACAGCATTATCACTGCAGGTGAACAAACTTTCCTTCTTCTGACAGTGTGACTTGTTATTCATTTTCATCGTAGCTGTTTTGCGCTTATGTACCATAACCAACTTTGTAAGCATGCACATGTACATAGCCAACACAGACTTGCAGAACAGCCCCAAAAGAAACAAGTTAGTGCAAGTTCAGCATTCATCAGACAAGGACTAACATGTACTGGTTTTCTCTCCAATTCTGTTGTTTAAACTTTAGATGTGGTATTAATACAACACCAGAGTTCCCTTCAGGTTATGAAAAAGCATATGCTCTGTCATACAGACTACCATATTCTGCACCAGGAAGCACAGATTGCAGTGGCATGCTGTTTTTATGAAGAAATTATAGCAGTACGCGCTAAGGTCATATTGTACTATTTCACCATACGGTGAGCTTACTTACCTTCTTTTTCATGACCATCTTACTTGTGTTAAAACACAGCCTGGTTTTATTTATTGTCTTTATTTGCACATAACAGCTACATTCAAACTGTTCTTTTCTTCTTCTATTGCACAGTCATCCTAGATTTTATTCCCTTTCCTTCATGAATGGGTTAGTGCCTCAAAGGGATCTGATGTAGTAACAGCTGCTGAAATCCCACAGCAAAAGTTAGAGCTGACCAGTCCAGCACTAGGAAAAGCTGACAAGCAGCAGCAGAAATGTAAAGAGAACTGATGGTGTAGCCAGTACTGGGAATGGACCAGCACATGAACAGCAAGGATTTTGCCTGGAATTGTGGCAAACTTGTATGGCCAACAGGTATTTTGCATTTTGAAGAGGGTATTTTTGTTTTGCTTGTTTTGGTTTCTAAAAATGAGAAGGCTAGAGCTACTATAAAAAACAAAGAGTGATTAGGTGCAACACAGTATGCGGCAAACACAGTTGTACCACATCAGATCAAAGCACTGTAAGCTCTGCAGTCTCACTCCATCAGTGGCCAAAAGCAAATCATGTAAAGCGTAAAAGGGAACATCCCCCAGTGCTTCTTTAGTAGTCTCCCACCTTCCATGGATTTGCCACCATAGGGCTCTCATCCAGAGGTAGCGTTCAACTGCTTTTTCTAACTTGCTTGGTGGTTCTTTTAATCACGTTATCTGTAATACCTGCAGTGCTCTGTGGTACCAAATTCCACTGCCTGACAATGCTGCACATTAACTACTATGTCCTTTCACTCTGACTGTGCCACCCAGTCCTTTCAACCCTCCCAGCCTTTTGAACAAGTAAAGGCAGCGAACAAATGTTCTCTGTTCACCACCCCCATGCCACCAAATTTTATCAAATTCTATTGTACTTTCTTTTCCTCAAGCAGTATCTTCCAGCAGAGAAGACCTAGGCTAAATTTTTCTTCCTGATACGGACAGAAGTACTCTGAAGTCCTGGTCTCCTCATTTTGAAAGGATATTGTAGGAAGAAGTGTAATAACTGTGACCACATGGAACTGAAGAATCAAAACCAAAGGTACAGAATGGCATGTTTTCTGTTTTTTCTCTATTTCTGTTCTAATTTTTCATACTTGATTTGCTTTACTGAATGCCATTATGCATTGAGCTGACATTTCCAGGAATCATAACAGCTCTAAGATCACCCTTCTGTAGTATTAACTAGTACAGAGCCCATCACTGGCGATGCAAATTAGGAACATTCTCTCTCCAAGTAATTGCTGTGCATTTAATCAACACTGAATTTCACCTGCCATTTTAGCTCCCTACTAATACAAAGTCCTTTTCCAACAGTGAACAATGAACAATTTAAACAGACAAACCAAGACACATATACACAGCTTTGAGTTTACTTTCTAGGTAAAAACAATTCTGCTTAAGATCTGTATTTTCACTTAACTTTCAAAAGAGGCTGTTTCAAAGTCAGCCTCCAGATGGAAACAGCGATGCACTCATTAAAATAGCACAACAGCGAGTTCTTACTCACTCAAATCTTAATAATTACTTTATCAAATCCAATAATGTTTTGGCAGTCTTTCTAGCATAAAAATCGCACTAATCCCCAGTAACAAAACCACATTCATGGTTACAGCAGGTAGTTTATGAAGGCCACTGCTGCAAAATTTGTAAGAAATTCCAACTCACCTTGAGATCACAAGTGGTGTTAAGCAGCAAATTTGAAGGTTTGAGGTCACGATGAAGCACATTGGCTGAATGGATGTATTTTAACCCTCTCAGAATCTGGTAAAGGAAGTAACAAATGTGGTCGTTGCTGAGGTGTTGAGTCTTTAAGAGCTTGTACAGATCTGTTTCCATGAGATCTTGCACAATGTATCTGTAAGGCAACAGATGTAAGGCAGCAAGCGGAAGGTGGTGTCATGATACCAAACACAGCACCCAGTGAAACTTCTGTAACAAGTTTTTCTCTTATGTGTCTGTCTGGTGACAATTCTGAAACTATGTAGTTGCTTCTTGCTTTACAAGTTTTGAATCAAATCAATTCTGTTACATAACGCAGCCCTTTATAGAATTCAGAGGCACAAGCACAGAGTCTTCAAATTAATCATCATAAACCTCAATTTCTTAATATTAGAGCCTGATTTTTGATAATTTATGAAGTGAAAACATTTGACTTTGATTCAGTTCCATTTCTGCATGTACTTTTGGCTTTTATTGGGCAGACATCTGCAAAGACCCCCAAAACCAAAAGGAACCAATGCCCATGGAGTTGGGGAAATTAAGATGGTTGACTAAACTGGGCCTTGTATATCACGTAGAGTCTCCTAGCTAAGACTACTTCATACATTAGATATCCATATGAAGTCCTAGCTTACACAAAGCCAAGTTTCCCATGAAAGAACAATTAGAATAACAAAAATGACAGATTTGCATGTATTAAGCATGTTTACCTGCCCATGTGCAGTTTCAGACTGTTGCACATGCAGGAAGCACTGCAACGCTGGGGGTTGGGTTCTGATTTTATTCCCTCCTCCCCCAGGATGCATCCATTCTATTCTTTAAGAAAATTGTAGACAATTACAGCAGTCTGGCCAGTTTATTTTCTCCTCAAAGCAACAGTTCTCATCAGTTCTAACAAAAGCCTTATTAAGAGCAAATATAGTTTTAAGTGACTAAACTAAATCATCTCTCAACCTTTTTTTTCTTTCTTTTCCTGAAAGAAAACTAGTGTTCACCCACATATCAAACCTACTTATTTATCTATAAACCAATCAAACATTACAAACTTCTCTTTCAATTTACAATAATAGTAACGAAGAGGATGAAAAATAATCAAAACAGAGAAGGCAGCAACCACCACTCTGCAGAATAACTGCAAACTCTGAAAGGATACACATCTTTCATTTGTTCAATAGTTGGAGCTCTGATAATATCATTTATCCCAATAATATTCTCATGCCTGAAGCGCAGTAGGATCTTAATCTCCCTCAGAGTTCTCTGGCAGTATGTCTGATGCTCAAAGGGACTGATTTTCTTTATAGCAACTCGAACTTTGTTGACGTTATCATAGGCAGAACTAGAAGAGAACCAACAACATTAATTACAAGGAGTATTAAATTCATTTAATTCAGAAAGCAAGAACACCAATTCAACTGAATATAAGGGTGGCACATTTGATTTACATTTATTTTTATCAAATTAAGAAAGGCAACAGCAGCCTATCTTTTAGTTGAATGAATGGACAAAATACTGCTGTTCCATCACCAGCCTATTTGGGTATCTACACATCATTAGCTTTCCCAACTGACATTTAATACTCTGCTGATTCTGGGGTACCTGAACAAAGAAGGAAGTATTCATCTTCTTTATCAGCTTGTGGAACAAACAAGTTAGAGTCTTTTGTCCTTTTTAAAAATGCTGTATTCAAGAAGTAGTTTGAGAGCAATAATTCCTCTTGAGTTAACCCATTCAACTTTAGGGTGCAGAAAAGCCTTCAGAAATCATCCTTCAAGCATCCTATGTCTAACTCCTGCAAGTAATTCCAGCTCTCACAACTTTTTAATCCTCCATCCAGCTACACTGAATGTTCTTCCATGAAGAACAGACATGGAAGAACAAAAGGGATGGAGAATTTGTGAAAACACCTTTCCAAGTTCAATTCCAAATGAAGCTCAAGAAGAAAAAGAACATACCTGACCACACACACGAAGCAAAAGGAAGCAGCAGTGTGAGGCAATACATGACTGTGACCCAGATTAACACACACACCAGCTGCTACACTTTCAGTGCTGTCATCTCAGAAGCTCAGAGCACCATTCCCAGCTACAGCAATAAAGCAGCCCTGGTATTCCTGTTCAAAATTCCTGCGCACTTACAAAGAGTACCACAGCCTGACCCCAAGGAAATGGCTCACTAAAAAATATATCATTTTATAAGACCTGGAGTCAGGTTGTTATTTAGTAAAAATGTTACAAATTCTTACAAATTTTAGGATGTTTTCTATGGTCTTGCTGATAAGAATGACAAATCATCTCATTATAATTCTATTTGTATTAAAAGTAGACGGTAGTTAATTAGAATTTAAATGTGTGCATATGATCCTCATTCCTTTCAAATTTCTTTTTGCTCACTACTGCATTGTTTGGAAATTAAAATATAATCAAGCCTACATTTAAACCTTTCTGTTAGCTCCACCTATTTCATATAAAAATACAAACATAGTAGCCAAACAGGCTTTACATTCCACCAATTTCCCATAATCTAGTCCTGGAAGATTCTTTGAAATTGGCATTACTTTGATGAGATGTAAAGTAGAATAAAATACAAAAACCCAATCAGAAAAGGAGACCTGCAAGGAATTCAGATGCATGGCCACGTCAAGGTTCTTTACCACTAAGCGTAAGGTGCAAGAAGGTGGTTTTGAGGCATAATTTACCACTGTGTGCAAAAGTGTTTAACATTTCTCACTTTCATTATTAAAAATGCCATAGAACCTGTGCTGTCAGTAAGAGCTCCGTACAGCTCATGCATATGCAGTGACATCCTTTTTGCATGACTCCACAGCATCACTTTGACCTGTCTGCATCCATAACACCGGTCTATAACCACAGCCAGACTGCAGAATTTATTTGCCTCTAGAAACACTGAACTCAAACGCTCCATGGGGTGCTTTGAAATTCCAAATGCCAATCAAGTATTCTATACAACTGTTGCTATTACATATGGATAGATAACACATTAGCAGTTCATAAGTCCCAAAATAGATAACAGAAGTGGAACTTGGCATAGCCTTCAAGAGCACTTCGTATATAGTAATTTTCTTAGTTCCTCAGGTAATCACCTACGGTGTTTACAAGATACCAGGGTGGCAAGTCACAGGCAGAAAACAAAACTAGAAGTAATTCTGAAGCACAAACAACCTGTATTTGGGAAAGAAATTAAATAATCCTGTAGACAATTGTATCATAACCAAATCTCAAACCTCCTTCTTTGTATTGACTTAAGTGTCATTTTTTAACCCCACAATGCAGAATCTTACTTTCTTGCAAAGAACTGGACGGCAGCTGCTATGCTGAGAAGAAAAAGGCAAAATGCCAGTATTCACCAATTGATGCTGCTTAAAAAGCTCCTAATCTCTTACAATATTTGATAAATCTCTAAGCTATTGCTTCTCAAGCAAAGATTGGTGATTGATGAAAAATATGCATCTTTCCTTGTAGAGATTCAATGAACTTGAATTCATCAATTAAACATACCAACATTTCCTCTCTTGTAGCTCTTGAAGCATGTTCTTAGCAGAAGGCTTGTGCTGTTGTTTAAAAAAGGACGGGTAATCTTGCTTTCAGATGGTTCAACTCTAAAACACATGACTCAGCATGGAAAAAAGCTGAGTTTTTGCAGCAAAGATGCGATCGATCTCCTCTCTAGCCTACCTTCTGCATACAGTCATTTTTCTGTTCCTGTCAGAAGATCTCACCAAACCACTGTAGCTGAGCATGCACTGCTCTTACTTCTCCAAAGCCTCAGCTAAGGAGAGCAAACCCAAAGTACTGCCTAGTTGAAACATTAAAAGGGACACCAGATTTATGTCTGTTGTCACACTTTCTGAAACATGAGCTTTTCTGTAACTTGACTAAACATAGGAAAGATTATCTCAATTCCCATGAGCAAGCAGCTAATCATACAGCAGCTCAATACATTTGCTTATGCTTAATAGTTTAAATATGCATAATACAGGTACACAGAGCATCTGTATTACTAAATTAGCACCATTTCACATGCTGTCACAGCCCTCAAAGCAAACACAACTGAGTAAACTGTGACCCTTTAAAAAAAAAAACAAAACGAACAATACATGTTAACAATTTGACACGTGCTATAGAAACTGTAAGAGGTACATATTAGCCACAACTTCAATTAGCAGTGAAGAGTCATGTGTTCTCTCATGCACACATGCTACACTCATACACCTCTTTGGCCTATGAAGCCATATAGCAGTATCTATTTCACTATCTAGGAAACACCCTAAACTAACAAAACTGGGTCCTTTATAGGTCAGACTGAACCATTTCCTAAAGCTTTCCCTGTTCATCATAATCTCCATCCAGCCGCTCTCTGCCATCAGTACCAGACAGACCCACTATTCTCCAGAAGTCTACTGAAGAAATAAGCTGCTCATACACAAGTGTCCTGTGCAGTGTTTGCAAATGAAACAACTACAAAAAGTGCAAATCCAAACCCTCGATGCATTAACTCACTACAGTTAATGTAACAGCTTAGCACTTGACACAGGATTCATCTTGCTTAGCCTTAGCTAGAATTAGAGATCTAATTTTACAACTAATGATCACCTGTGCTCCCCCTACAGTCCAAACCGGAATGGCTCCACATACACATCCCATCGCCTCCCAGCACATCCTAAATTTAGATTACTTGCATTCTGGAACTGCTGTCCCAGTGTGCACAGCCTAACCTAGCTGTCCAGACCATCAGCTTCTACTAATCTCACGGCAACTTTTTTTCACTGAAGCAGTTAACTGGGACTCCATCAAAAGGTATGAACCTTCTACTACCTAGGCTTTTTTCCAGAGAAGATAAATATCTGTTAAGTAGGCATAACAGTTCACATACCAACAACTTTTAGAGTGCTAATTCATACCTTTGAGTTTCTAACCATTGACCACATGTACCCATCACTGCACACAGAACTCTAACAATCTGCATGTTATTCATATTATTACAGTTAATCTAGTTACTGACACTTTAAACATTCAGAAGGAAGGATTTATTCCCACCCCAATGATGTGCAGCTTCACAAGTTTATGCAGCCATTCAGCTGTGAGTGCTATTTATCTGTAATGTGGTAAATTTAAATATAGATTTTGCAACTGCCCAACTGTAGTATATGCATTATTCCTGTTTCAAGCTGTGGTTACTATCCTGTGACAACCTGCAATAGCACCATTTAAGACACCACGTGAAAATCAATACAAGCCCCAGCAGTGCAGTTTATCATTCCTAATATTAAGTATCTTGTAAATGTATAACTGAGTTTTTACCAACCAAATAAAACATCTTGCACAGCTGTACAGAATAAACAAATGAGCATTTATAGCGAAGAAGCTGTGCCACACAGCTTTGAAAGCCAGCATCTTATCTTTCTGTGGCTCCAGTACCAACTTCCTTTTTAGAAAGGAATCCAAATGCAATGACCAGGAAGTGCACCACAGCATGAGCAGCCTACAGAAAACAGCACACTGATTGCTCAGATGAACCTCTGACACGCAGAGGTTCCCATTAACTCCTTCTCAAGGAAGGAAAGCTTTTCACCAGACAAACTGGGACATGTGCCAAAGCTTAGCTCCTTCAACCCACAATGGCTGCTGCATGTTCTTCCATCCATTTCTATTCTTCACATGTTTCATTTTGGAGCAGAACTGGAACAAGTGAGAGCATGCTGCAGCTGCTGGGAGGAAAGGAGCCAGCTCCTGGCAATAGTTACAGCCCACAGAGGGCTGTTTCTTCATACAGCCATTGAAAAACAACTGCCTACTCTGTCGGCGCCCCCCTCCTCAGCACACTCCTCTGCCATGCTGCCTGAAGGCTTACCCCACCATGGGATATTCTCCAACACTTCCAGGATTATTCACCTTATGGGTGTTTTACAGGCTGCTCTAAGCATAAGGATACACATAAAAATACACAACGCTACCAGCAAACATCCTAATTACAACTCTAAATAAAAGACCGATTTGAAGTTTAAAAGGGATGTTTTATCAGTAGCTTTGTGTTGCTGTGGAAACAAGATTCCAAGGGCATATCCAGGGATAAGAATCTTTCTGAAGTGCTGAATAATTCTGCTTGCAACCAGGAGAGGAAAGGCAAAAATACTTCGCAGCAAACAAGCTGATCTGGGAAGATTTTTAATCTTTTCATTCAGTCTACATTTAGCTCAATCACGGACATTTCTACAACATGCTGACATTTATCAAGTTACAATACAAATAGCTTCACCTTATTTTTAAGACTGCTGTAAGTAAAATAACACATCACTATGATACAGTAGTAACCAGCAGTACTGT